CTTCCTAGGCCACAGCACTTCTGCTAATACCACTATTCATGGACTTACAGAATAACCATACCATTGCCTTGTTCTACCACAGATTACCTTTGCTCAGGGGACCCATTTTACAGCCAAAGAAGTATGACAATTAACTAATATCTTTGAAATTCAGTGGTCTTACCACAGATCCCATCATCCAGAAGCTGGTACTATTAAATGGTACAGTCGTCTTCCGAAGGCTCAGTCATGACACAAGCTGTGAGACAACACCATGAGACGTTGAGATGCTATCCTCAAGAACGCAGTATATTCCTTAAACCAACAGCCAATGTGTGGCATAATTTGCCTATAGCCAGAATTCAGACGTCCAGGAAGCAAGGATATATTCTTCTGACTATTACAGCAAAATCTTACTATAGGAATAGTTTTTTCTTCCAAGCCCCACAAACTTAATAGATTGGGGAACTCTAATATCCAAAGAAGAAATGCTTCCACCAGGGAATTCACAGCCTGTTGAGCTGGAAGCTGGGACAAGAAAAGAAAGGCACCACTATATTGCCCTAAGTAATTGATTATAATACCAATGGGAAATTGGTTGCTTCTATACAGTCAAGTCAAGGAGGACTATATCTAGAGCCTAGAAGTTCCTTAACGAGTCCATGGGAGTACGCACATATCCAATGGTTCTGATCAGTGGAAAACTGAGCAACTCAGTAAAGAGAGGCATGGCAAGAACCTAAATCTTGTAAGGTCAAAAGTTTGGGCCAAGCGTGGTGGCTCTTGCCTGTAATCCTAGCACTTTGGGAGGCTGAGGCAGACGAATCACTTGAGGTCAGGAGTTTGAGACCAGCCTGGCCAAAATGGTGAAACCCCATCTCTACTAAAAATACAAAAATGAGCCAGGCATGGTGGTGTGGCTACTCGGGAGGCTGAGACATGAGAATTGTGGGAACTTGGGAGGTGGAGGTTGCAGTGAGCCGAGATTGTGTCACCGCACTCCAGCCTGGGTGACAGACTGAGACTCTGTCTCAAAAATAAATAAATAAAAATAAAAAATGTGGGGTCACTCTATAAAGAGTCTCATAGAGTGAAATGCTGGCAGAGAGGAAGGGGAGCATGCAGTGGGTAGTGGAAGAAGAAAGCTATGATTCTCAACTTAAATCTCGTGACCAACCACAGAAGTAGGGATTCTAAGTTATGTTTCATATTGTTTATCCACCATCCTCAGTCTTCTCATTACGAAGAGTAAGAGTAATGATTAATATTTTATGTCTTAGTTAGGTATACGTTCAATCTGAATTACTCTATTATGACACAATAGTTAATGCAACTTTTTGTGTGTCCCAAAAGGTGTGTTCAATTTATACAAAGTACAAGAGAAGATGTTCACTTTACTGGGTATCTTCTGTTTATGCCTCCTGATCATTCAATCAGTATTGTGTCCTGGGAATTTAAGCTACATGGATTGCATCAAGGGCCCTCTTGCCCTCTGATTTCTGGTTGGGTTCAGCCAATGGCAGACACTAGTAGGAGATCAGATGGTAGGAGGAAAGTAGAGTTATGCTATTTATTCTCCTGGCTCTTTCCCTGATGGGTCACCATAGGTTCACTGCCTCATTCTGTTAGTGACAGGTCCCATAGGATGTTTCCCCTTTTACAATTATTCATTTGTTGCTTCAATAACTGTTTCCTTTCTTTGCTCATCAGGCCTAGGATTAGTCACAGTTCCTTGCAGTATCAAGCCCTAGGGTATGCACTGAACTATGCCTTACTGGTTTTCTTTAATTTCACCCACACCTTTGGGAACAGACTTTTTCATTAAACTCTCCTCAATTATCTTGTTGCAGCATGTTATTTCTGGCCAAAATCTAACTGGTAAAATATCCTATTTGCATGGAGGTTAAGATGTTTACTATGATAATTGTAATGGTACCCTCTGCTAGGCTCTAACCTCTTATTATTCTTCATTGATTTTTTTTTTCCTATTTTTGCTTTGCTTTGAGAAGAAATACAGCATGTTTATTAAGAGAATGAACTCTGAAGCCAGATTTCATGGGTTTGGATTTTGGCTTTTCCTCTTTCTAGCAGCTTGACTTTGTGTAAGTTACTTGGCTTACCTGTCTCATGGGGTTGTTGGTGTGACTGAGTTAATAAAATGCACTCAGGACAATATTAGCCATAGAAAGTACTAGGAAAGTGTTTGATTTTACTATTCAAAATATTTGTCAATACCTGATATAGTATGCATTTATTTATTATCTATTGTCCACCGAAATGTAAGCTCCCTAAAGGCAGATATTTGGTTTTATTCAAAGCTGAATCCCTACTGTCTGGAAAAGCACTATCTCACAGAACTTTCTGTCATGATGAGATGTTCTATAGCTGTGCTGTCTAATACAGTAGTCACTAATCACATGTAGGTACTGAGCATTTAAAATGTGGCTAGTGCGGCCGGGCGCGGTGGCTCACGCCTGTAATCCCAGCACTTTGGGAGGCCAAGGCGGGTGGATCACGAGGTCAAGAGATCGAGACCATCCTGGTCAACACGGTGAAACCCCGTCTCTACTAAAACTACAAAAAATTAGCTGGGCATGGTGGTGCGTGCCTGTAATCCCAGCTACTCAGGAGGCTGAGGCAGGAGAATTGCCTGAACCCAGGAGGCGGAGGTTGCGGTGAGCCGAGATCACGCCATTGCACTCCAGCCTGGGTAACAAGAGCAAAACTCCGTCTCAAAAAAATAAATAAATAAAAATAAAATAAAATGTGGCTAGTGCTACTGAGGGACCAACTATTATATTTTATTTAATTGTAATTAACTAAAATTGACATAGTTACATGTGACTAGTGACTGTGATATTGGGGGACAGCACAGACATTGCCTGGAACATCATAAATAGGTACTCAACGGATTTTTGTTAAACAATGAATAAATGCCAACCATTTATTGGAAGCTGATATTTTAACAGGTATAATGCTAAGCACTTTATATACATTATCTCATGTAAACCTCTCAACAAACCTGAGGGAAATATCACCGTTCCCAATATATAGATGAGAACATTGAGGCACAGAGGAGTGAATTTGTAATAGCCAGTAAATAGATTAGATACCAGCACTGAGCCAATGACAGTGAACTGAATTCAACTCAGGTTGGTTATAATTCTGATTTTCAATATCAGAGTATCAGACTCCCAGTCTTTCTCTCAGGAAATGAAACTACCTTCCCAAGCTTCCCTTCTGTGCTATATCCATTTCGCATACTACCCAGCCTCACAAATAGACTTTCCAACATTCCTAGCAACAAATTCTTTGAGTGAAGGATCCACACCTCATTCTTACTTCATTGCCGTCTACAGTGTTGCCACTATGTCAGAATCATTCTTCAGTAAATGCTGGCTGAAAGAGTAGAGGATGAATGGAGGCTCAGGTGGATGTCTGTAAGGTTCTAAAGGAAATTAATTTCTAGTATCAATTTTACTTACACAAGAAGAAATCATATGAGCAGCTACTGGCCTTAATGCTTTATCTCGTGCCCACTGAACAGACCTTTTAGAGCAGGTGTTGGCAAATCAGGTAGTATATTTTAAGCTTTGTGGGTCATAAAGTCTCTGTCACAACTATTTAACTCTATCATTCTTGCACGGCAGCAGTCATAGACAATATGTAAATGATGACTCTGTTGCAATAAAACTTTATGATCACCAAATTTTGAATTCATATAATTTTCATATGCCTGAAATAGTCTTCCACTTTTAAACCATGAAATACTGCAAAAACTGTTCTTAGCTTGTGGGCTGTACAAGAACAGGCGGCCTAGACAGGCAAACAGGATCAGAAGCACTGGGTAAGGCCATAAAACTGTGTGGTAGAAACCCATACAGAAGGGAAGGTCCAGGGTGGAACGTAAGAGGCTGTTACTTTTCTTTTAACGTCCCCGTTTTTCCTCCCTCGGATCATTCCATATCTTTTTCCTGTTTGCTTCGCCGGGATTATTCTCAATCAATGTGCATACCTTCTCATACCTCCAGTGTTCGTTCTCTCTCTCTCTCTCTCTCTCTCTCTCTCTCTCTCTCTCTCTCTCCTCTCTCTCTCGTGGCCATTTGCATTTAAATTAAGGGTTTGGGGAAGACTGAAAAACAGTCAAGACCCAAAGTAATAAATAGCTTTCTCATGAGGCGTTTACACGCATTGAGAGATATCGTTCCGTCGGTGTGAATACGTCTCTATGTACCCACCTGATGAAATATAATGCTGGCTTCTAGTCCCCTCACAAAAGAAACAGCCTTCCTGTTTGCGTGACTTGGGGGCGACTCCTGCTTTTCCTTGGCTGCCCATTAGTTGGCGCCTTTTGCCGTCCTTTTTCCCCAAGCCCGCTTTGGGGGCCGCGGTCGCTCAGCAGCTCGTGGGTCACATGGCCCGCCTGAGCAAGGGGAGTCCTGCGCCAAAGCTGCTCGGCTGGAGGAGGAGGCGAGGCTCCGGCGCGCACCCAAACCGCGCTGCGCCCGCTCCTTCCCGGCCCCGCGATGGCGCCTCCACCGGGATGAGCCAGCCAGCCTGGGCGACACCTGAGGCGGCCCTCGGCGCGCGCAGGGGACCGAGCTGACCGCCCCAACCGGGTAGGTTTCCGCTGCGCACCATCTGCCCAGCCCTTTTGGCACGGTGGTCGGAACCCTGGAGAGAAACCAGAGCCAGGGGACAAGGATTAGGGGTGGTCACAGCTGGCACAAGGAGGGCGGCTGGGGGTTGGGGAGAGGCATCGCAGAGGGCCTGTGCCTCCGGCGGTGCGCCTCGAGCAGGCGGGCTGCCTAGCGGCCCTGCCCGCAGCTCCGACCGCCTCCTGCCAGAGGATTGCTAGGACCCCGAAGGGCGTCCCTCGCGCGGCCGGGGCCCGAGTCAGTGCCGGGCTGGAGTGTCGCGGGGGCGCCTCCCTGGCCCTCGCCCGCGCCAGCTGCGCTGACAGGCCAACAGAAGGACGCGAGCGGGGCGCGTGCCAGCCTGGGTAAGACCCTCGCCGAGCCTAGCAGAGCCGAAGCGCCAAGGGGCCTGGCGCCTAATGGCCGCCCGCAATCAGGGGACCCTCGCGGCGCGTCCACACCTTGGGTTCGCCCGGCGAGCCGAGAGCGCGGCCGCGGTGTTGGGTTTCTGTGGCGACCTCGCAACCAAGGGCTGGGAGTAAGCGACTGGGCAGAGGAGGGCGTCCCTCCCGGCACCAGGAAAAACCAGCAGAAGAGAAGGAGTGCAACGATGAAGACGGGCAGCTCGGCCTACGGGTGGGAAACTGAGGCTCAATTGTGGCAGGGACTGCCCAAGGTCAGCGACAGACACTAAGATTCATGGCCCTGGACATCGTCCCCGATTCTTTTTCCAAGAGAGAGGGTTAAATTAGGTCTACGTGGGTGTGTCTCACCCTCTTTCAGGCCCTTGGCTCGGGCGTCACCTGTGCCGCACTGCGCTCGCGGTGCCTTGGGGCGTGAGCTCCTGCAGGGTCGTTGTGACCCGCATCCCCCGCTCGGCCCACGCTCTCTCCGGGGGACCGCAGGGCGGCTCCAATGATGATCTCACTATGCGGACCATTAGCAACACACGCAAGTGTGTGTCTGTGTGCATGTGTGAGCTTCTCCAAGAAAACTAATCCTTCTAAGGAGAAATAGTTTTTTTAAGGGGTGGATTTCTAGAATGCACTGTACTACATACTTTATGAGATGAGAAGAGAAAACTAACATTATTAGAATTATTAGAATGTTGTAAGGATAACCCTTATTAGAAAACATCCAGGAAACAAAATTCCAAAGGAGAAAATAAAAGAGAAATAAAATATAAATAACTTCAACTTCTAGATGGTTTAGATTGTCTGCATATCTTAAAATTTTCTTTGTGTATACACATTTGAAGTTTTAAGTAAAAAATGTGGACCAAAAATGGTATCTTGCCTTAATTTGCATGTCTTTGATTAGCCATAGGCATTGACACTTTATCCTCTGTGTAGTAGCCTTTTGCATTTCTGTAGGTGAGTTGACTGTTAATTCTTTTGCCCATTTTTCAATTGGAGTATCTTTCTCTTCTTGATTTTTAAGCACTTTGATTTATGTGTATTACATATTAAAGTATTAATTCTTTGTCACATGTAGCACTAAAGCGAGTGTTTTATGTTAATTTTTACTAGTCCTAATTCCAAATGATCTTTTGGATACTTTGATCAATTTTTTATTTGGATAGTTATGGGCATATAAATTTGACAAAACTCATCAAAATGTATATTTAAGCAGTGCATTGTATTGTATGTAAACTGTACCTCAATAAAATTGATTTTTTAAAAGCCTAGAAAATTATGATGCTGAATAATGAGAGAGAATCTGCCCAGTCAGCATTAAAAGCTGTTATAAAGCTTTCATAATGAAAATAACATGGCACTGGCACTACAGTGCAGAGGGCGAGAGATACCAAAATCCACGAACAGATATATATATATATAGATATAGATATATGTAATTTATTATAGCTATGGCAACCTAAATCATAAATTAAAAAATGGACTTAACAGATGCCCTGACTGTCATGTTCACCTTCCCAGTGTCTAATGCAAGACTCAGTGTTGAATCAAATACTTAATTATGATTATAAAAGTAATACTCTTTGCAGAAGTGTAGAAAGCAAAACAGGAAATTGCCATAATGTTGTACCCGAGTGTGTCAAGGAATGTGCCACACTCTGAGAATGAATTATGAGTCCTTTATTAAGCCGGCGACCAAGAGTGGCTAACGCCCAAAATTCTCTGGGCCCCGAAGAAAATGTTAGGTGGTCTTTTATACACTAGTTTTAACAGGAAGGGGAGAACCTAGCAGAAACAAACTTTTCACAGAGGCAGGGCAAGCAAAAAGTTAAAAAGAAAAACTGATACATAAGAAATGAAACAGTGCCAGGTGTGAGGAGTACAGCTGTCATGAAAGACATACAACTTCTATACGGCGGGCTCTGGGCACTCACTGCAGCTGCATTTTCAGGCTCTGCTGATACCACTTTACTCGGCCTCTTATCAACAAAGGCATTTCTGGGTGCCCAGAGTCAGTCTGACCTTGCTTTATACTATACTTACATACTTAATGGGGAGAAGGTTACTAAAATGAAGAAGCCAAGATGGAGTCTGTTCAGCTCAAAAAGGCTAACATAAAGCCTGAACAGCTTTTAGTCAGGGAAAGGAGAGTTAGTTTTAGCTGGCAAAAAGCAGGGTATCACAATCCCCATACCCTTCATTTCTCCTTTAGTAAATTATACTCCACATTAAAAATAAAATGGTCAGAGCTCTGTATATTTTGCTGTAATTTGCACTGATAGAGTTTGCATTTCTCCCTTCTCGTCTTTGTCTACTTGGGCTGCTGTAACACATTCCTACTGACTAGGTGGCTTAAAGAGCACACACATTCCTCAGAATTCTGGAAGCTAAAAGTTCCAGATCAGGGTGCCAGTGTGGACAGGTTTTGGTGAGGGCCCTCTTCCTCATTTACGTGTCAGAGAGCAGAGAAAGGAAGTGATCTCTTCTGTCTTTTCTTATAAGGATAATAATAAAGAGCATGCATTCCTGAGGGCTGCACCGTCATAACCTGATTACCTTCCAAAGACCCCATCTCCAAAAACCATCGCATTGGAGATTAGCGTTTATAACACGAATTTTGGCTGGGGAGGAGGAGGACAAACATTCAGTGTATAGCACAAACCTAGCTGAGATTTCTTTTATGTCAACATATTTAAACTTTTCTCTTCTTGACAGTCCACAGCCTACTCTTTTATGATTATCTAAAAATCTGTTCCCTTTGCTAGGCACTTCATTTGCCTGCAGTTCTTCCTTTCTTCCTTCCTCCCTCCTACCTTCTTCCTCTCTTTCTTTCTTCTTTCCTTTTTGTTTTCTTCCTTCCTTCCTTTCTTCCCTCCCTCCCTCCATGCCTCTCCCCTTTCTGTCTTTTTCTTTCTACTACCAACAAAATAGCAGTGAACATTTCTTATCCATCTTTGGTAGCATGTGTTGGCATTTCTGCAGAGTACATTCCTAGAAGTAGGATTGCTATGTCAAAGGGGGTGCACATAACAAAATTTTTATAGATACTGCCCCAACATTTCCTCAAAGATTGCACCAATTTATATGCAAATGCCTAGTTGTTGAACTGTGCCACTCTCACTTGAAGTAAATCAAATTCAGATGTTAAATATAGAGATTAATTATGGAGAAAGGATCTCTATTACCAACTCTTTTCACCTGAGCATTATGTTTATTAATGACTTTTTAAATACCCTTTGGTAGAATTTTGTAATATGTGTGTATATTCTGCATATTTCTGAAATTTATTTCTAGATATTTTTGTTATTTTTTCCCTTTTGACTGGGATCTTTTATTCCATTAATTCATTGGTGATTGCTTACATGAAAGCAATCATAATATTATAATATATAGATATGTAATGCTTATATATATAGTGTATTCTACTTGCTACGTATATTATATATTATTTTTACATATTCTGGTAGCAACCATGTTTTGAAAATCGATTGCCATCTCTAATGGTTTTGCCGTTGATTTCCCTGGGCTCCAAATTTGTGCAGGCAGTAGTGCATATTGGTTGAGAACTTGGGTTCTGGACACAATCTGCCTGGGTTCAAGTTTTGCCACCCTGCTTAAAAGCTTAGTTTTTAAAAGTATAACATGGGCTTAATAGTCATAATTCTTATAGGCTTTTTATGAGGATCAATAGATGAGATGCTTAGAACAGTGTCTGGCACATAAGCACTCAGCAAACATTTACAAATAAGTTGATCTCTACACAGTATCTGACCAGCTCTTTGATACTACCAATTTTATGACTGAAGATCTGAGACCTATAGAGGTCAAAAGAGCCATTTATTTGCTCAAAAAGCATTGAGTGTTTTCTATGCATAGTTTTGCGCTGGGTCTATAAGGGATACCAAAGATAAATCAGACTGAATCTACTAAAAAGGGATGTAAAAGTCCAGTGGGATTATAAGTCAAGAGCCATAAACAAGGCCATGGAAGACAGCAGGCATCATGGGAAAAGATGAGCTTTGAAATTTATCCTTGTGCTTGAATTTTCTGCTTAAAAATTGGTAGCATCAGTTTTTTCAACTAAATGGGATTAATTCCATTGCTATTTGAGAGTTGTTTTGTTGAGAAGAAGTAGATGCAAGTCTAGCACACACTGGGATGTATAGTATGGCCTTAATAAGTGGCAGTTATAAATAGATACTGAATATTTATAGGTACTCTATAAATAGAGTCTGAAGGAGAAAGTGACAGACGAATGCCCTGGAGGAAAAGTTCATAGAAAGGGACCCAGTACTTGAGGGAAAAAAAGAGGTTATTTCTGGTTGGATAGATCAGGGTTGGCTTTTGGAAGGGGTACCTTTTGAGCTGATCCTTGATGGTTGAGTTAGACAGTGTGAGGAGCAGAAATGTGGCTGGGAAGATAGTTAGAAATGGATTGTGAAGAATCTTGGCAAATAATTTGGACTTTATTCTACAGTCATGGGAGAATCATTGAATAATTTTACCGAAAAGAATGCCATGTTCTTACTTATGCTTCAGAGTATCATATGGCTGCTGATTAGGTAAAACATCACCATCATTTTCACAGTCTCCTATGCTTGACAAAGGGCTATCCTAGCTATTCCCCTTCATCTTCACAATGCCTCTATAAATGAGATATCTTTTATTTTCCTGTTTTGCAGAGAAATAAAACAGGCTCAGAGAAATAAATAATTTTTTATACAAATTAATCAAATTAGTGAATGCTGGAACAGAACTGGCCCCAGATCTTTTGACTTGTGTTGCTCATTCTGGAGTTCAGAAGCTCTGTTAGGAGCCTGTTGCAATCAGCAGGCTTGGAGGGACTGAGGAGACACTAGAATGTGGCAGGGAGGAAGGCTTGACAATGGGAAGGCAGGGGGCAAAGAGAGGCATAAAGAGGTCAGATTAGAAAGTGACTGCACGAGGTGAGAAGTTAGAACCAGTGTTTTAGACTGAGGTGCCTGGGAAGTGGTGATGCCATTCATATAGTGGATTTGGGAAACATAGAACATTCTTGAGCACGCATCCCCTGACTCACACCCTGGTATTTAGTTTAATTTTCAGAAGTTGCACTAAAATGTAACTGTTGAGTCATCGCTACATTTATTCATCTAAGCCCTAGTTCATGTTCATTTTTCAGAGTCTGTGTCCTTTGCTGTCTTCCTGAGCCCTACACTCTAGACATGGTAACAGGTAGAGAATTCTGTTTAGGGAAGAGTTGTGTTTCAAAGAGCACATGCAAGGCATAGATAAGAACTGGGTATGTATTGTTCTGTAGAGTCGGAGCTGTAATGGTGCGATTGTTATTAGGTCAGCTCCCAGATGTCAATCAGTCCACAGTGTCTCTGGAGTGTGGGCCTCAGCCTGTGACATCATGGGCAACTGGAATTCTGGAAAAAGACAATCAGAATAGTAACACAGACATAGCTCTCTTGTCTCACCCTTATAATTGGACTGGGAGTAAAAAACTCCTTCACCAAACTAGTGGTGAAAAATCCTGTTTTTATATCTGTTTCCCTAAGGCCATTTATCTTTTTGTTTTATTTTATTTATTTATTTTTGAGACAGGGTTTTTCTCTGTCACTCAGGCTGGAGTGCAGTGGTGCAATCACAGCTCACTGCAGCCTCGACCTGCCAGGACTCAGGCGATCCTCCTGCCTCAGCCTCCTGAGTAGCTAGGACTACACGTACATGCTACCACGCCTGGCTAATTTTTGTATCTTTTGTTGAGACTGGGTTTTGCCATGTTGCCCAGGCTGATCTCAAACTCCAAGACTCCAGCCGATCATTCCCCGCCTCAGCCTCCTAAAGTGCTGAGGTTACAGGCTTCCGCTACCACATCCATCTGGCCATTCTTCTTAAAACCAGATCAGTAAGGTGAAGTAAATTATAGGTGGCATTGGACACCACAGCCTACTGTGCAGCAATTGGTTAAATCTTTTAAGAAAATATTTTTTAAAAAGTAAACAAGAACATATCCTTGAATGACTATATAACTCAATGTGGTTGGATTTTGAGAAAAGCAGTCATCTAATCTTGGATGAAGGATCTGATCCTAGCTCCTGTGTGCTGGGTGGGTGTGGTAGATTGCATTATTGTTCAGAATATTTTCTGCCCCTCCCTAGGGGCAATTTCTTCAGTCCGTCATTGGCTTCAGGTGTGGCCATGTATCTTTTGGCACTCCCTTCTTGCAGGGAAATGACATAACTCTACTGTCAAATTTGAGTTATTATGTGACTTGTTCCAGTCAGTGAAATGTGGATGGAAGTGACTTGTGTCCCTTTTGAGCAGTGGCTTTGAGAGCCAGCTTGTGGTTAACTATTTCTCTTTTTTCTCTCTACCACAAAACCAGCAGTGTTAAAAAAAAAAAAAAAAAAAAAAACAGTTCTATCTGCCTGGGTCCTAGAATACAGACAACAGGCAACAGAGGCACAATTGACCTACAATGGACAAGTAATATAAGCAAGAATTCAACCTTAGTTCTCATAAGCCACTGAGATTTTGGGGATCATTACTGAAGCCTTCCTTATTCGCTCAATGTGTAATGATTGGGGTTGAGGGCTGGGTCTTAAGCCCTGTGACTATTCTTAAAAAAATTCCGTACTCTCTGAACAGATTGCTAGATGCTTTCTTTTCTCCTGAGGATTGAGAAATTGGCCTGTTGCTTTTCTTTCCTAGTGAATCTTCACTTTCCCCTCCTGCTCTGTGGGAGGAGTAAATCTTCCTGTACCATTGCTTTGGCCAAGGCACGATGAGTGGACTTGGTTTGTGGCACACTGGAACAAGGATGTAAATGTACCTGCATATTTTGACTCAGGCTCTTGTGCAGCTTCCAGACAACCTAAGAACACACTCCAGGTGTTTGTTTCTTCTGCAGCTTGATCTAGAAGGAGGGGCCTGTGGCATGAACTAATTCTGGCCTACATTCTGGAGCTGACCCCAAGGGAGCCACAGCTATCCACAGACCCGTATGCAAGAAATACATGTTATTATTTAAGTTATGAAGATCTGAGGCTTTTAATCAACCCAGCAAAGCTGATTAATATAGGCAGGGACCATGTGGCCTCTGAACCGAATCCCTCAATCCCTCTCTTTTCCTGATTATCAGTAGAACAGCAGTCTCACAGACATAGTTTTAAAGGAAAGGACTATACGAGATGTTAATGATTTTATTGCCCCCAGTAGGATAAATTGCCTGGGTCCAAAGGTCCTCTTTATGTCTGTACTAGGTGTTTCCATTTCTTTCCCCCCTGCCATATCATAGTACATGATGGCCCTTACTATGCGCCTGGCATTTTCCAAGCTGCCTGCCCTATCTCATTGACTCTAGTTCCCTCCTGTAGATTGATCCAGCTTCCCTGTGGTAACAGCAAAGGCAGGGATAATAGTGTGAGCAGAAAGCCACTTGAATGCCTCCTTTTCCAGGGCCAATACTGCAGGAATGTGAGCTTAGCCCAGTTCTAGTATTGGCTTCCATTAGTAGTGATGTGAAACTGGTGAGGCCACATGGATGTGCAACCACATGATTTGTTAACACCATTGCCCTGAGCAGAGCAGAGGAGGAAGCAACCAGTCTGCAACACCCTGGACATTCACAAACCAGCAAGACTGGGGTTGCGTACTATTCAAACCTCTCCCTGCTTTGTTCCCTCTTTGGGTACTATCTAGATCTCTTAGTTCTCACCTTTGGGTCCCATAATACAATCTGCTTCTGTGGCTGAAATGAAACTTGTTTCCCTACTTGAGAAATTACCATGTCACTGTGCTATAGACATTTAGTATTCTACACAACTGTAGGCTAACTGCTGTAGTGAAGTGCAAAAATTATTGGTGCCTAGACACAGTGGTTTATGCATTGCTCACAACACAGTCCACTCTAGTTTGGGAGGGTACTGGGAGGTGGGCAGTGGGAGAGACCTCTGTTCCATGCAGTCCCAACACTGGGATATGTATGTACAGGATTCAAGGACCCAGGTTTCTGCCATCTGGTGGCTCCACCCTCCTCTAGATCCACCAGGGCTCCCCATTCAGCTGGCAGATCAGGAAAGAGAAAGTCAACATGGCATATCTGTTCTCAACTACCTTGTCCCAGGTGTCACACCTGTCTCTTTGCTGACAAGCCCTAGTCACATGACTCTACCTGGAGAAGGCAAGCTAAGAAATGAAGTCTTTCTGTGTACCCAAGGAGAGAACATGGATTTGAGAGCACTGACTGAGTCTGCTCCACAGCAGCCTTGTATGGTTCCTGGGCAATTCTCCCTTTGCGATAACTCACAAACTAGATAATTTTCCTCAAATCTGTGTAAACCTTATTATGCTTCTAAGGCAACAGGTTTACTTTCTATACTGCAGACACCATTTAGTTTTGCATTGACCTTACTAGCAATTACTGTGTACTGGCTTTGTTCTTTTAATTCTGCTTTTTGTTTTTTGGTTTTTTTGGCACTAGTCTGTTTTCCATCAGAACATTAGACCTGCTAATTTCTAAAATATTTTTATGAGTTTGAACATATGGATAGATTTTAATGGCATTTTTGCTCTGCATTATTTTGCTTATTAACACATTTAATATTCACAGTAACCCTACAAGACAGGTATTGTTATTTTCATTTTAGAGCTGAGAAATATAAGATACAGAGAGGTAAACTGTCTTCCCACCAAGTGAGAGGCAGAGCCAGGATTCACAGCAACACGAGCCTGGCCTCAGGCCATGCTCTGCACCATCACATCACACAGCATTGTTTCCTGGACCAAACTGGGGGCAACTGTCTCTTTCATCTTTAACTCTGCCTGCCTCTTCCCTCCCTCATTGAAAAGCTACTCTTGGATCTTCCTCCAGATGTTTCCTCCCCTCCCAAGCAAACTCTAGAGCTTGCTTGCTTATGGGAGAAACTTCCTCTCATTGGCACCCATGATTTATAAAAATAAAATGAGAGAACAAGCAGGATTATATTAATGTGTGATTTTAAGTATAGTTGGTGAGATTACAGACATATGAATGGAAAGTGACATTAAGTAACAAAGATATTTCACAGAATCCTAAGTATTCCTTCTCTTGCTGGACAGTTCTTTTGGTAATTGCTATATGCACAGTTAATCAACAAGTATATACTTGGCCCTCATGCTGGAACTTGCTCTAAACGTGTGTATTTCCTTTGTGCCAAGCCTTGCTTTTTTGCCTGTTTTAAGAACCCATTGTCTGTGTAGCTGGTGAATAGAAATAACAACCCTAACAGCTACAGCCTACCTGGAGATTTTCTGGCACATTGTAAACCTAAGTAAATATCTTTAGGCATGGAGACTTGGTTGGATGCACTGACATCTTGTTACTCATGGAAATAGTAAAAACATCGCATAGGTTGTTAGCAGACACAACCAAAGAACAGTTTCATTCGGAAAACAAAGTCTCTAGAAGCTACAGAGCCTTGAATTATAATTTCTGCTTTGACATGTACTGAGTTCAGTTCTTGGCCATCTTTTGTTTTTAAGTTATCCTTACCATTACCTACTTCTTCTCTCTTTAGGTTTGACTTCTGATGGCTCTGGCCTGCGTTCCAGGATGTTTTCTTCTTGGGACCAGACATGAACAAAGTTGACCTCATGAACACTTCAACCTCTCCAGCTGCCATGCTCCTCCGGAGGCTGCGGCGACTCTCCTGGGGCAGCACCGCTGTCCAGCTCTTCATCCTAACGGTGGTGACATTTGGCCTGCTGGCCCCCCTGGCCTGTCACCGACTTCTACACTCTTACTTCTATCTGCGCCATTGGCATCTGAACCAAATGAGCCAAGAGTTCCTGCAGCAAAGCTTGAAAGAGGGCGAGGCTGCCCTCCACTATTTTGAGGAGCTTCCCTCTGCCAATGGCTCAGTGCCCATTGTCTGGCAGGCCACCCCCCGGCCGTGGCTGGTGATCACCATCATCACTGTGGACAGGCAGCCTGGCTTCCACTATGTCTTGCAGGTGGTGTCCCAGTTCCACCGTCTTCTTCAGCAGTGTGGCCCCCAGTGTGAGGGGCACCAGCTCTTCCTGTGCAACGTGGAGCGTAGTGTGAGCCATTTGGATGCCAAGTTGCTCTCCAAGTACGTCCCTGTAGCCAATCGCTATGAGGGCACTGAGGATGATTATGGTGATGACCCTTCGACCAACTCATTTGAGAAAGAGAAGCAGGACTATGTCTATTGCCTGGAGTCATCCCTGCAGACCTACAACCCAGACTACGTCCTGATGGTAGAAGACGATGCTGTTCCGGAAGAGCAGATCTTCCCAGTCTTGGAGCACCTTCTGCGGGCTCGCTTCTCTGAGCCACATCTCAGAGATGCCCTTTATCTCAAGCTCTATCACCCCGAGAGGCTCCAGCACTACATCAACCCAGAGCCCATGCGGATCCTGGAGTGGGTTGGTGTGGGCATGTTGCTGGGGCCCTTACTAACCTGGATATACATGAGGTTTGCCAGCCGCCCAGGGTTTAGCTGGCCTGTAGTGCTCTTCTTCTCCCTGTATAGCATGGGTCTAGTGGAGCTGGTGGGTCGGCACTATTTCCTGGAACTGCGGCGGCTGAGTCCTTCCCTGTACAGCGTGGTTCCTGCCTCTCAGTGTTGCACCCCAGCCATGCTCTTCCCTGCCCCTGCCGCCCGCCGGACCCTCACCTACCTGTCCCAAGTATACTGCCACAAGGGTTTTGGCAAGGATATGGCACTATACTCACTGTTGAGGGCCAAGGGAGAGAGGGCCTACGTAGTGGAGCCCAACCTTGTGAAACACATCGGGCTCTTCTCCAGTCTCCGGTACAACTTTCATCCCAGTCTCCTCTAGGGTGCCAAGAAATGCCTTTCTGAAGTTGGCCACTTCTTGAAGATTCAAATATCGATCTCTTTATTTAGACATGGTTGCCTGCAGGTATTTCACTGTTTACTGTTGCTAGAGATATAGGCACTGGGGCAGCTGAGGACCATCAGTAAGACAACAGCCTTGGCTTTGGTAGCCTCCTGGCAGGAGCAGCAGTTTGCCACAGGTCCGGACCTCTCCCTCCACACAGCCACACTGCCTCATGCAGTCTGACCCACCCAGTGAGGGTGCATTTGAACACTGGTTATATTCTCCATTTGTTTTTAAGCTCTTCTTTGTGATAGAGCTTGTGACTGCCAAAAATCTTGCGCACAGTGATATGACTGTTTTAGGATCTGAAGGGTAGAATTGTGTGAAAGGTGAGATCCTTTGGAATTGAGTTCTTTCTCATTAGGTATGAAAAATGGATGTATGTTTAGAATATATGCCCAGTGAGGCAGGACCATGTGGATAGATTCCATTTGTTTCCTTGACGTGGTGTAATAAAAACTGATAAAAGCCGTGCAGTGCCCGGCATCTTGGAGGCAGGTGATCTGGCTTTTCTGTTACCTGGCATTTTCTTTGCCTATATGTCTGTTATACACTGATAATTAATATTGTTAGTGAGAACATGAAGGCATGACAAGATCTGGAAGAGCTTCTGAACCATTAAAGTCCGGTTGCTTATGTTGAGTAGTGCTTTAACATTGAATATTTCTGTACTACTCTGACTCTTTGAAAACTAGACATTTCAGAACGATATAGTATGGGAGAGCTGTTTACAAGCAGCATATCGTTTTTCCTGACTTTGCTGGCTGACTGCTTACTCGCATTTCTATTTCTTCTAGATAGCATGATGTTATAGAAAAAAAAAAAACCACCATGGACTGAAGTCAGAAGACCTAAACTTTTATTTCATATCTCTGCCATGCCCTAATGACATGACCACCTTGGACACGTCATATAATCACTCTGGGTCTCAATTTCTGTACCTGTAAAATGAGGACAGTGATACCTGTTAAAATTGCCTTGAGGATTAAATGACAGAATATATATAAAATACCTAGCAAGTGCTTAGGCCATAGAAGACACTTGGCAAACTTTTCTCTCCTATAATAAGCATATACGACTCAAGTTTATTTCAGAAAAAAGATCCTGGTGATGTTAAGTATGAGGTAGTGCATGGGGCTGCCACCTATGTACCAGCGACTCCAGACCAAGCACTGCTAGAATAAAGACTGACTTTTCACTGTGACCTCTGAAGGATGTGCAGCTCAGCTTTCACCTACTCCCACTTTCAGCCAAGCCAAAAGTAACAATTGTTCGTTCAAAGTGGAAATGATCTCCAGTTTGAAAATCAGACCCCTCCTGAGTTTATTCTAAGACCAAAGTCTGAAAATTACTTTTCTCAAAAGTTACAAACAAGTGTCTTTGACAGTACTTACCAGACTAGTGACTGGCAAGTTCCTTTATAAGGATGGACGATGATATTAGGGTTCAAGCAATTGTCCAGTTTGTTTCAGTGCCACAGTTTGCTTTTAAATTCCCACAGTGAACTTCCATCTTGAGATGCACTCAAGACCACGAGGGATTACATAAGGGTTGATTACCCATGCTCTACAGATGAACAAATTGAGACCCAGAGATGCTAAACTGTTCTCCAGGTCACAAAGCTGAACAGCAGCATAGCCAGAATGTGAACAGAGCTCTTCTGACTTCAAGCCCTTGCACTTTTTTCTTAACCACATTTATTTTATAAATATCTATGTGGTCAAAGTCTCTTTTGTAAAATCTGAGTATAACGTGGACTAAATAATGTCTCTGTAAGCTACGATAGCAGAGCTTGTCGTGTTAGTTTGGGGGAACAAACAGATATAAGTATGTGCTGTAGTGTTATAGTGAGCTGTGATGTATCCCCCAGCAATGTCCAAAGTGATCAGAGCTCCTAGATGACTTATTACAATGTTGGGATCCCGCTCCTTCATTCCTCCTCTCTCAGTGACCTGTCCGCCCCCAAGCTTTAGAACTGAACCGTCTCCAACTTAGAACTCGTTACAGCTTGTTGCATTAATGATTGGATCTCCTCATGAAAGTTTTTTGACCAATGACAGTGGAGCCACTTTAAGCTAGCCAGGCCCAAGATAGGGAAGCACTGCTGGTTTACATTTCTGCTCTAATTCATTTGTCTATTGCATGCAGATACCCCTCCCCGACTTCTCCATTGCTGAAGGCAAAGGCCATCCTTCCTGTCCAGTATCTCTACCTACACACTAACGTGCTTTTTCCCGATTGAGCTGAATTAGGATCTGCTGTCCTTGGACATGTTCTGCAGATGCAAGCCCAGTTCTGCTCTTCTGCTCCTACCCACCTCAAGATCTTCCTTCATTTCATCCCTTATTCTTATAAGGAGTCTAATTTTTGTGTATTGTCCTTGATTAGGGCAGCTGACAGCTTTACACCAAAGCTGAAGTCTCTCATTTAATCCTAAGCAAGGAGCTAGGGAGAACTAAGATATCCTTCCCGTATCAAGGGACATAGGTTACCAGAAGGGTGGAAGTCTTAACAGGCTCACTAACCTTTCTGAGTTTAAGTTACGGTCAGGCTTAAGAAGCTCTCTCTTGTGACTGAGTGTATTTGCATAGACATGTCTGTGAAAATAAAAGCACCCATTTTGCTAAGGCTTTCTGAGACCTCTATCATTGTCTGTCTTTCATGAATGGATTTTTCTGATGTGGCAAATACTATGGGTTCTCTGCCCCCACACACATAGTTTTGTATTCCCAAGGTAGCCATTCAAAAGTATTGGCTGCTGCCTGCACAAGCAACCATGGCCACAGATCTCTGGGCCACAGCAATGCCAGAGCATTTATCCGTCTTTTTCTGGATGAAAACAAATTAGGGGTCACCCCTACCACCCAGATCATCTTACCTCTCACCAGTATACCCCTGGTACAGTGTGGTGATCATTCCTTTACTCTTTCCTGCCTCTTGGCCTAAAAGTCTTAGAATAAGCTGCAAAGCTGCCATGGGTGGTATTCCTGTCTAGTGCTCCATTGGCAACACCAAGAAGAGGCAGCCACACCTGCAGCCTGGGAGAGAAAACCCAGCTTTCCCCTGAGAGAAACACGGGGATCCCTCACACCCACCCTCTGCCAACACACGCTGAAAACAAAATCAGTACAATAAGAAAGTGAAAAAATAGCTTCGTGTGGTGATGGAAAGACTTCCTCTTAACACTTGCCATTCCCTCTGCTTGGAATGCATGTAAAAAACTTTTAATAGGATTAAAATTGTACACTATAACTAATTCTCAGTACCTAGACCCCATTCTTTTTCCTCTTTCTGATTTTCTTTCCTAGTCCATTTCTTTTTGTCCAGTATTCCTTTTGTTCGTAGGCAGTTCCACTGTGAGTCCTTTACTCTTTCTCATTCATTCATTGCTCACTATGTGTCATGTTCTATTCTAGGTGTTGGGGATATAGCAATGAATGAAACAGAAGACCCCTGAGCTCATGTTCTATGGGGAAGGTGAAGTAGAAAAAAACTCAAAAGAATAAATAAGGGAATTTCAAGAGGTTTGAAGTAAATCTAACTAGTTAATGTGATAGAGAGACCTAGGGATAGGGAAGGGCATGAACTGCAGATAGGATGGGAAATCTCTTCGGGGAGATTAAAATTGAACTAAGATGTGAACTGCACAGAAAAATTCAGCCAAGGGAAAAGCATTCCAGAGAAAGAGCATAGCAGTGCAAAGGCCTTGCAGAAGGAACCAGTTAAGAAAGTCCAAAGATGAAAGAAAGCCAGTGTAGCTAGAGCTTGAAGAATGAGGATGGCAGTGGGAAGACGTGAAGGTCAGTTTGCAGGGGCCGGATATATCAAGCCTGGAAGGTGATATAGCTGTTTGAATTTTATTCTAAATGCAGTGAGAAACCAGCTCCTTAGCAAGATAATATTTTGTTTTTCCAGAACGTTAACTGTCCATTATTTAGTTCCTTTGCATTCTCATAAGCTGATCATATAAACATTCCGTGACAGTAGGGCATCCATTAGAGATTTATTACATAAGGGAACGTGGGACATGCAAGAGCAGATGACAAACGTCGAAACTCTCTGCTTCACTTGGCATCTCTGTCCTTTTCCTCATCTTTCTGATATTTTAAAGCTACTGTGTTCCTACATACATATGCTATCTGTTCCTTCATTCTCTCTGATACGTTCATCATTTGCCTTTACATTGTCATCTGTTTTTACTCCCAAATGGTTAACATAGGTGCTTCTTTTGGAATCAGTTTATTATTTCATATTTCTGTATCAGTTGCTAGGAGAAAGACCAGGAAAATATGTGGAATTCTAAACCAAAAATTCCCATTCACTGCAGAGTAATGAATCCCAAAACTGCTGCAATTCAGGTAGTGGGGTGAACTGAAGCCACAACACGTCACCACCACAATCCTAATAAATTAATTTGTTTGTTTGTTTGTTTGTTTTGGTCTGCTAGCTCTTCCAAATTTCCAACCGTCTTTGACATAGTCCCAAGGATTTTCCAAATAATATCCCACCTAGAAAACAGTTTCAGTTAATAAGCATTTTTCAGCAAATTCTATTGTAGTTGGGATAAAAATATCCAGTGGCCTAAAATTCCCCAATTTTATGTCATGTGTTGCTGTAACTCAACAGTGCATCATACTGCACATAAAAATCCCACAGTAATCAACACCAATTAAAGTGCCTCTCCACCTAAATTAAATTACCAGCTAAATAAATTCTCCCAAATGAGGACTGTATTAAGGTAAATAGATTAGTTGTATCAAACTTGTATTCTGCAGTTGCACTGTAATATTCTCACCATTTTTCTTCAAACAACAACAGGAAAAGAAGGCACAATGCAATGTTCCCATTAAAGAAACAACAAAATCAGTTATCAATTTTTAAGCAAACAGCTGTAACCTAATTCCCCATTGTGCTTTTTTTTTTTTTCCCCCTGCAAACATTGGCTGCCATTTAATTTTGGAAAAGAAATAGACAGAACTTTCAGTTTTCCTATTAGGCATGTTACTCACAGTGGTTGGGATTCAATGTTTCTAGCTTTGCCCCAAGCAGGGCAAAATTTCTGATTAACTAGTTTTCAAGTCAATCAGTCTGTGTAGATTTATTTCCAGCAGTGTATTTGTACAATGCCTCTTGTCCTTCTCAACCATACCCTTCTCCAGCCCCAGTATATCCAAAATCCATGGCCAATTGGGGTTCCGAAAAAGTTTGGCTTCCATCTAGCTCTCCTCCAAAGAAGTTAATGAAAGAGGAGGCAGGATTTCATCTTCTTTCTGGATGGTGCACTTGGAATATATCTAAATTTTAAAATCTATATATGTAAAAAATGGTGTGTGTCTGTATCACATTCAAAATCATAGTTCATGTATTATTCTCCAAGGGAATACATCAAACAAATTAATCGTGACTAAATCTAAATTTAGCAGTTTATTCTCATCTTAATGAATACTAAATCCTGTTTGCGATTTTCACTCAAATAACTCAAGCTTTTTCCTTTTTAATCTCCTTGAACTTTTAGCTGAAGTGCCTCAATCTGCAGAAACACATTTCCATGTTTGAAACAGGAAAGGCTTGGAAGAGATTAAAATCGCATTATATTTCACTTAACAGTAAACACCACGGGAAGAACTATTTCAAACAAACTAACCCCTTCTTGTCACACTTAAACATTAACCTCAACCCCAAGGTAGACAGATACTAAAATTCATAATTGCATCCCAGGAGGCCTTTAGGACAAATTAATTTTTGTTCTGTAAAAGGCACCATGTGTCATGTTTCATGTCAATTTACATTTATTGAGTGCCTCCTGAGTGAGAG